CTATCTCCTCAAAGTAAAGTCAACCTTAATGACATGGATAGAGTAAAGCTCTCAGGACCTTCATTTGCTGATGTGGCATGACTTAAAACAAGAAGAAAGAGCTGCAATCATCCATTAGTAATCAAAATGTGGTATGTATGATGAAATATGAATTGATGAAAATTGGAAGTCGTCAAAAATGAAATGGAACACATAAAGATTGATATACCTGGGTGTCATAGATTGAATTATGTCCCCCCATAAATGTGTGTATCAATTTGGCTGGGCCATGATTCCCAGTATTCTGTGGTTGACCTCCATTTTGTGATTGTAATTTTACGTGAAAGAGGATTAGGGCGGGATTGTAACACCACCCTTACCCAGGTCACATCCCTGATCCAGTGTAAAGGGAATTTCCCTGGGGTGTGGCCTGCACCACCTTTTATCTCTCAAGAGATAAAAGGAAAGGGAAGTCAGCAAAGGGTGGACTTCATACCACCAAGAAAGCCATGCCTGGAGCAGAGAGCGTTCTTTGGACCTGAGGTTCCTGCACAGAGATGATCCCAGACCAAGGAAGAATGATGACAAGGACCTTCCTCCAGACCCAACAGAGAGAGAAAGCCTTCCCCTGGAGCTAACGCCCTAAATTTAGACTTTTAGCCTACTTTACTACGAGAAGATAAATGTCTCTTTGTTAAAGCCATCCACTTGTGGTATTTCTGTTATAGCAGCACTAGATGACTAAGACACTAGGCATTGTTGTTGTTGTTATGTGCCCTCGAGTTGATTCTGACTCATAGCGACCCTATGCACAACAGAATGAAACACTGCCTGGTCCCGTGCCATCCTCACAATTGTTGCTATGCTTGAGTCCATTGTTGTAGCCACTGTGTCAATCCATTTTGTTGAGGGTCTTCCTCTTTTTCCCTGACCCCCTATTTTACCAAGCATAATGTCCTTCTCCATGGACTGATCCCTCTTGATAACATGTCCAAAGTATGTAAGTCGTTGGTCTTGCAAAGTTCTATCATTAGAAATTTGTCATTAGTGAGCCAAAATGACAGGTATTGGCCATTTTGAATCAGACAATCATATAGTTTATGTCTTAGTTATCTAGTGCTGCTATAACAGAAATACCACAAGTGGATGGCTTTAACAAACAGAAATTTATTTTCTTACAGTCTACGAGGCTAGAAGGGTGCCAGCTCCCAGGGAAGTCTTTCTCTCTGTCAGTTCTAGTGTAAGGTCCTTGTCATCAATCTTCCCCTGGTCTAGGAGCTTCTGAGCACAGGATCCCCAGGTCCAAAGGATGTACTCCACTCTCAGCACTTCTTTCTTGCTGGTATGAGGTCCCTCTCCTCTCTGCTCAATTCTCTCCTTTATATCTCAAAAGAAGTTGACTGAAGATATAGTCTAATCCTGTAGATTTGAGTACTGCCTCATTAACATATCTGTCTCTAATCCTGCCTCATTAACATTATAGAGGTTAGGATTTATAACACATAGGATAATCACATCAGATGACAGAATTGTAGACAACCACACAATACTGGAAATCATGGCCTAGCTAAGTTGACATACATTTTTTGGGGACACAATCCAATCCGTAACAGTCTACTATGACAGGAATGACAAATAGGAATGACATCACATTCATTGTCAAAAGGAACATTTCAAGATCTATCCTGAAGTACAATGTTATCAGTGATAGGATAATATCCATACACCTACAAGGAAGACCAGTTAATACAATTATTATTCAAATTTACATACCAACCACTAAGGCTAAAGATGAAGAAATTGAAGATTTTTACCAACTTCTGCAGTCTGAAATTGATCTAACATGTGATCAAGATACATTGATAATTACTACTGATTGGAATGCAAAAGTTGGAAACAAAGAATAAGGATCAGTAGTTGGAAAATATGGTGTTTGTGATGGAAATGACACCAGAGATCACATGATAGAACTTTGCAAGACCAATGACTTCTCTATTGCAAATACCTTTTCTCAACAACATAAATGGCAACTATACACGTGGACCGTGCTAGTTGGAATACACAGAAATCAAATTGACTACATCTGTGGAAAGAGATGATGAAGAAGCTCGATATCATCTGTCAGTCAGAACAAGGGCTGGGGCGGACTGTGGAAGAGACTATCAGCTTCAGGTGAAGCTGAAGAAAATTAGAACAAGTCTACGAGAGCCAAAGTACGACCTCAAGTATATCCCACCTGAATTTAGAGACCATCTCAAGAACAGATTTGACACATTGAACACTATGACCAAAGATCAGACTAGTTGTCTGATAACATCAAGGACATTATACATGAAGAAAGCAAAAGGTCGTTAAAAAGAAATAAAAGACCAAAATGAATATCAGAAGAAACTCTGAAACTTGCTCTTGAACATTGAGTAGCTAAAGTGAAAGGAAGAAATGATGAAGTGAAAGAGCTAAACAGAAGATTTCAAAGGGCGTCTTGAGAAGATAAAGTATTACAAAGAAATGTGCAAAGACCTGGAGTTAGAAAACTAAGAGGGAAGAACGCGCTTGGCATTTCTCAAGCTGAAAGAACTGAAGAAAAAATTCAAGGCTCGAGTTGCAATATTGAAGGATTCTATGACACATTGAATTGAATGACACAGGAAGCATCAAAAGAAGAAGGAAGGAACATACACAGTCACTGTACCAAAAAGAATTGGTCGAAATTCAACCATTTCAGGAGGTAGCATATGATCGAGAACCGATGGTACGAAGCTGCACTAAAGGCACTGGCGAAAAACAAGGCTCCAGGAATTGACGGAATACCAACTGAAATGTTTCAACAAACAGATGAAACACTGGATGCACTCACTCATCTATGCCAAGAAATTTGGAAGATAGCTACCTGCCCAACTGAGTGGAAGAGATCCATATTTGTGCCCATTCCAAAGAAAGGTGATCTAAAGGAATGCTGAAATTATCAAACAATATCATTAATATCACATGCAAGTAAAATTATACTGAAAATAATTCAAAAACAGTTGCAGCAGTACGTCAACAGGGAACTGCTGGAAATTCAAGCCGGATTCAGAAGAGGATATGGAACGAGGGATATCATTGCTGATGTCAGATGGATCCTGGCTGAAAGCACAGAATACCAGAAAGATGTTTACTTGTGTTTTATTGACTATGCAAAGGCATTCGACTGTGTGGATCATAACAAATTAAGGATAACATTGCAAAGAATGGGAATTCCAGAACACTTAATTGTGCTCATGTAGAATCTGTACACAGACCAAGAGGCTGTCGTTCTAACAGAACTAGGGGATACCACATGGTTTAAAATCAGGAAAGATGTTCATCATAGTTATATCCTTTCACCATAATTATTCAATCTATATACTGAGCAAATAATCCAAGAAGCTAAACTATATGAAGAAGAATGTGGCATCAGGATTGGAGGAAGACTTATTAACAACCCATGATATGCAGCTGACACAATCTAGCTTGCGGAAAGTGAAGAGGATTGGAATCACTTGCTGATGAAGATCAACGACTATAGCCTCCAGTATGGATTATACCTTAACTTGAAGAAAACAAAAATCCTCACAACTGGACCAATAAGCAACATCATGATAAACGGAAAAAATACTGAAGTTGTCAAAGATTTCATTTTACTTGGATACACAATCAACACCCATGGAAGCAGCATCAAGAAATCAAAAACACAGTGCATTGGGCAAATGTGCTGCAAAAGACCTCTTTAAAATGTTGAAAAGCAAAGGTATCACCTTGAGGACTAAGGTTTGTCTGACTCAAGCCATGGTGTTTTCAATTGCTTCATATGCAAGTGAAAGCTGGACAATGAACAAGGAAGACCAAAGAAGAATTGAAGCCTTTGAATTATGTTGTTGGCAAAGAATATATATTCAACTGTGGACTACCAGAAGAACAAACAAATCTGTCTTGGAAGAAGTACAACCAGAATGCTCCTCAGAAGCAAGGATGGCAAGACTTTGTCCAACATACTTTGGACATTTTATCAGGAGGGACCAGTTTCTGGAGAAGGACATTGTGCTAGGTAAAGTAAAGGGTTAATGAAAAAAAGGAAGCCCCTCAAGGAGATGGATTGACACAGTGGCTGCAACAATGGTCTCAAAGATAGCAATGACTGTGAGGATGGCACAGGACCAGGCAGTGTTCTGTTGTGCATGGGGTCGCTAGGAGTTGGAACTGACAAGACAGCACCTAACAACAAAAACAACGCTTTATTGAGATCTCATTATATGTGGAGTACCTTGCTAAGAGCTTTCCATGTATCATTTTGTTTTATCTCCCAGCAGGAGACTGAAGAAAAAGCAGAGTGACACTGGGGTATTTATTCCATGTCCTGTTGAGCCAGGGCTGGTAGCAGCTCTGTTGGTACTAGCTCTGGTGTTCTGCACTATCCTGGGTGGTTTCCCCAAACCCTGACCTTACCTGTGTGAAGAGCCCCTTTATTAACCTCTCTTGATATTATCCTACTTTGAGTATGCCTACTGGGACCCTGATAGATGGGGTGGAATGTGCTTTTCTGGGCCCGCTTCTTGAGGCCTGATCTATGCTTATTCATCTCTGTCCCCCATGCTTGGCTCAGTACTTGGGACATGGTTCTAACAGCTAATGTTTGTTGAGCACTTACTATGTGCCAGGCATTATTATCTGCATTAAGTCAAATAATCCTCCCCCAAATCCCATGATTATTATCCCATTTTACAGATGAGGAAATGAAGACACAGAGGTTCAATAACTTGCCCAAGCTCACATGGCCAGAATGTGGCAGATCTGGGACTAGACCCCAGAGAGTCTGACCCCAGAGCCCACACTCTCAACCTTACTATTGGGCTGCCTTTCTGTTAATTGTTTTGGGTGATGTCTGTTAGCCTTGGGAACCAAAAGAATCTGTTTCTTGGCCCCCTCAGGGGCTCAGGTAGAATGGGCAGAAGGTGGAATGCGAGTCACCATGGCAACCAGGCCAACTGGTTGCACCAGCTGGTGAGCCCTTGGGGCTGAGGTTCTACTGCTGGGAGAGAGCAGGGCGGGGTTGCCATGGGGCAATGTTTGAGGCACCAGATGTGCTGGGAGGATCTGGAGGAGTACCAGGTGGGCAGATCAGGCAGGAGATTCTGGGCAGGGGGTGAGAGCTCCCTGAGGCAGGTGGTAAATGGGAGAACTCTTGTCTGGAGCTCTGGAGTTTATCAGTTAGGGTAGTGACGCCCTTGTCTTTGCTAAACATGCATCCACGTGGCCCAGACCAGTCCTCTGAGGCTGCCTCCCCTCATCTGTCTCTTGCTCCAGAGCACAGGGTTTTAATCTTGTTTCTGATCCACTCACCAGGCCTGTAACCAACACTTCCTTCTCAAGGTTGTCAGAGACTGAGGGGAGAGAGAAAGGATCCATTTCCTCCTTTGCCACCTCAGGCCCACTACCTATGGTGTGGACGCCTTCATTTCCCCAGCTGTGGGATGAGAGAATGGGCTTTTCCTCTCTAACTCCCAAAGACCTCCACTCTCCAAAGGGGTCAGGTTTGGAGCTGAGTGTAGGGCCGGACTGAACAGGCTGGTCACCTATCTGTGGTTTGTTGTAGGCCCTGACCTTCCTGACCAGAAATGAGATTCTCTGGTGAGTAAAGGGGACCCCTGAGCTCTAGCCCCTTTCCCTTCTCCTTCCCCCTGACCCAGGTTCTTGCCCTGGTACAGCCTCACTCTGGTTCCTGAGTGTGGTCCCTGCTCAGAGCCACCTAACCCTGGAGATGGGTTGGGACAGGGCAGAGAGTCTCCAACCCTGGGGGTTCAGGGGTCATGATTCCCAGAGTCCACCTGGAAGTAACTGAAACATAAAGCTTTTGGTGGCTATTTTTTCCCAGAGAACCAAGGAGGGATTTCATCGTAGAATGACAAAGATGGATAGAGCCTTCTTGGGGAAATGGGGCAGACAAGGAAGGGATTTTGGCTGTTCACTGGCTGGGTAAACTTGGATGGGTTACTGAATATCTCTTCGCCCACCCTCTCTCCTCTCCCTTCCTTCCTCAGCCTCTCTTCAGTGCCTGATAAGTGCCAGCATGGAGATGCTACAAATATCCCCTCATGGACTGTGGAGAGAATGAATGGGATGGAAGGGGTGTCAGTGTTTGGCCCAAGCCAGGTGCTCAACAAAACCTATTAGAGGAATGAGTGAGCTCACTAACACATTCTGGGGGTAGATGGGGTGAGGTTGGAGTGAGAAGACCATGTTTAGACTCTCAGATCTTCTCCTTTCCCCTCATCTTCTCTGCTTTAACTCACTCTCCCCAGCCATTACGTTCAGCCTGGAAACGACACTTCCTGCTCAGGGTCTCAGGTGGGCATTGACTGCCACAAGTGTGAGACTCTTCAGGTGCAAATGGGGCAGAGGGGTGGCCAGGGCACAGGGAGCCACTGAGACTGGGGACAGTCATGGGCTGTTAGTTTCCTTTTAAAAATAACATTCACTTTTAAAAATACAGAAACATATGACAAAACTCCAAATGACCCACATCCTACTACCTATACAACCCTTGTTACTAAACATTATCAATTATATTAACATATACCCACTGCTGTGGAGTCAATTCTGAGTCACAGCGACCCTGTAAGACGGAGTAGAACTGCCCCACAGGATTTCCAAAGATTCGAACTACCAAGCTTTTGGTTAGCAGCAGAGCTCTTAAACACTGCACCACCAGGGCTCTGTAACAATATGCTACATTACGAACATAATATTATATTTATTCACATGTTATTAAAAAGTAACGTGAATATAAAATAGAAAAGTAATATGTAAGCATGGCTAGAAAATTGAAATTGTATAGAAAGTTCTAAATGATAAGTAAATACCTCCCCTCTTCCTAGGCCTTCTCCTTGAAGGTAGCTACTGCTCACATTAGTTTCTCTTCTAGCCTTCCAGAAGAATTTTTTATGCATAGAACTACATGCATATTCTTTAATGTTCTTACTTCATACTTCAGCATTTATCCCATTCATAGTGTAGCATTCATATAGCTCTGTACCGTCTTTTTTTTCATCTTGGATGGTTTTACATGAAACGCATAGAGATTTACCTCATTCCTTTTTAATGGCTACAGAGCATTCCTTTCTGTGGATGAAACATAATTTATTTTATCGACCCCCTATTATGGGTACTTAAGTGATTTATGGTCTTTAATTTTGCAAATAGTGCTATACTAAACATTTATGTAAAAAGAGCTTATCCCACATGTGAGAATAAATCCACAGGGGAAATTCCTAGCCATAGAAATGCTGGGCAAAGGGTTGTTTTGTTGTTGTGTGCTGTTGAGTTGATCTCAACTCATAGCAACCCTATATGACAGAGTAGAATTGCCCCATTGGAAAATCTTTATGGGAGCAAATTGCCAGGTCTTTTCTCCCACAGAGTGACTGGTGGGTTCAAATGCCAACCTTACAGTTAGCAGCTGTGCGCTTAACCATTGCTCCACCAGGGCTCCTTGGGCAAAGGGTTGTTGTTGTTAGGTGCCCTCGAGTTGGTTCCAACTCATAGGGTCACTATGAAATACTGCCCGGGCCTGTGCCATCCTAATGATCATTGTTATGCTTGAGCCCGTTGTTGCGGCCACTGTGTCAATCCATCTGGTTGAGGGTCTTCCTCTTTTTCACTGACCCTCTGCTTTACCAAGCATGATGTTCTTCTCTGATCATTTGGATAGGTATGATAATTCTGTCCTTCGTAGGGGCTGCACCAATTTATACTCTCCACAATGGGCATGACCATGCCTGCTCCTCTTTTCACACCAGGAAAGTCAGGGGCTTTCAAATGGTATTCTCTGGATCCTTAGTGCTCCTCAAGTTCCCTGGATGGGGCAAACAGTTAAGTGCTCAACTACTAGCTGATAGGTTGGTAGTTCAACCCCCCCAGAGGCACCTTTGAAGACAGGCCTGGCAATCTGCTTCCAAAAGGTCACATCCTTGAAAACCCTATGGAGCAGTTCTATTCTGTATACCTGTAGTCGCCATGAGTCAGAATCAACTCAACAGCAACTAACAACAGTGCTCCTCACAAGTCTCAGAGGCTGTCAAGGAGGGAGCATGGTGGTAGTGGGAGATTAAAGGAGAGGGAGCAGGATTGGGGGTTCAGGTTCTCTCTCTGGAACATAGCCCTTCCATTTTCACTTATTCTATATTGGTTTTCTGGAAAAGATTTCCTTGCAAGAAAGCTATCCTTAGAGAATCCTTCTTTCTGGACTGTGCACTCAGGCCCTGAGGTGACCCCTGCCCAGATCCTGTTTCCAACCTATTTCTATCCCTGTCACAGGCAACCTCCCCCGGGGAAGGGCATAGCCAGAGAAGGCTGCACTCTCACTCAAACTTCTCTAACAAGCTTCTCTCAAAACTCTTCCTGGCCCCGTCCTTCTTTTGACACCTTCATTCCTGAGCTTATGGGCCAATGCCCCACTTCTTCCCAGGAGATTCCCACCGTCTGAGGCCTCAAAGAATAGGAACGGGTTACTGCTGGGGAGATTGAGGATGCCACAAGGTAAGGAAGCACAATGAAGGTCACTCCACATGGCTCAACTCCTTTGCTTTTGATTCTCCATATTGGAGATCTTTAGATAAGACAGAGGGGGACAATACTGAGAGGGAACAGAAATTCCAAGATGGTTGGAGTGATACCAGAGAGAGCTCTCTGCTGCTTCAAGCCAAGTTGGGTCTGCAGACCCAGAAAACCATATCTTGGGGAGCAAAGGGCATCTGCAGCTGAAGATGTGTAACAGCTGTCAAGACCTTTGAAGAATGGAGGAGGACCAGGAAAGCACTGGCAGGCTGGAGATGCCCATGTGTCCCTGGTTCAGAAAGGGAAAGCTCTTTGACCTGGCCCCTCCATGTACATCCAGAGGCCACAGGTGAAGTAGATCCTGATATGGCCATCAATGGAAGACTACCTTTAGAAAGGAGGAGGAGGATCTTTACGCTTGATGTGGAGCCACCTCCAAGATAGATTGTTAAATAAAGAAAGCAAAGTGCAGGAAACTTCCAGTTAACAGGGAGAATAGAGCATATTCTTTTAACTCTGTTTCCTCCAGTAAAAGGAGAATAAAGAAATAAAGAAAAGAAACCATAAGGACAAAAAGAACATAAGAGATGACAACAGGTAAGGAGAGGTCAACAAAATGTTCAAAAATGGAAAGCAGACAGATCCATGACACAGACTTAGAGCAAAGCTGAAAGCAAATTGCCTACAGGGGGTAAGGATGATGGAATCAAGAACCCAGAAAGCTTCTGAATGCCAGGATGTGGGGTCAGACTGAAAACAGAAAGATAAAAAGTCCTATACGTTTCCTTCTCTTGCCCTGGAATCCACTCGGCTCCCCCTTCCCTACCCCAGCAGAAGGCAGGAGTTTGCCATCTGGAGAGAGCTGCAGCAGAGAGGCTCCTGACTCAGGGCCTCCTGGCACAGAGAAGAGTGGCTGAGTTCTGGTCAGCCTTTCAGACCCTCGCCTGTAAGGATGAATTGAAAGCCAGGGGGCCCCGTGTGTTTGAGGAAGGACTAAAAAGCCTACACTAAGTCATGTCATCATGACACTTCAGAACACCCGAGATAATGAGCAGATGCTAAAAGCTTCCACAGAGAAAAACCATTTCAGCCAGAGGATCAGGAGTCAGAACAGCTTTGGACTTGTATGTTGGAGGACAGTAGCTAACCACCTTCAAGAGTCTAAGGAAAACTTACTTCTAGAATTAAGTCCTAGCTAAACTACTATCAACGGTGAAGATAGAATAAAGGCAGAATATCAAAAATTTTTGCATATGAATTCTAAAAAAAAAAAAAAAAAATCTCTGTGCATCTGCTTTTAGGAAGCTTTTCAAGAATGTGCTCTGTTAAAACTACTTTAAAGAAACAAGAAGGAAAAAGACCGGGGATCCAGGAATCAAAGGATTCCAACACAGAGGAAAGCAAAATGAATTCTCAGGATGATGGCGAAGGGAAATCCAAGGATGACAGAGGGAGAAGGACTGGAAAGAAGGTTAGAACTAGGGGTTAGGGGGTTCCAGGTGTGATGTCTCCAAGAAAACAAAATGAACCTGTAGATTAGACAATACATTTGACTATATTGAGAGGAGTTTTACAATTCTGCAGAAAGTCTGAAGATGAATACACTGCGACCTGAGCAAATGAAAAACAAAATGATTGTTAACTCTGGGAAAAACAAAAAGCCTTGCAAGGAAGGAAATACAATCATGGTGTACTAGGGAACTCAGCTGTAAATAATGTTTGCATAATAATAATATAAACACTGAATATTGATTCAATCAAATTGTTTTATACTGGGAGATTAGGGGAAGGAGAAGTATACATAGAGTTAAATCCTCTTTTTTTGTAGTAGGAAGTCACAAGATAATGTCTATAATAAAAAAAATCAACAATTATCAGTGTCAGCATAGTATTTAGAAATATATAAATATTAAGTAGAAACCAAGAGAAATAGCAAAATATTTTTGAAATGCTTCCTCTGGAGAGCAGGGGTGGAGAGGGGGTATGGGGAACAGAGTACTGGTACTTTTAATTGTAAGTCTTAGAGTACTATTTGCTCTCTAACCTATTTAACTGTATTACTTTGGAAAATTAGA